AACTTAATAATATCAAATAAATACTTCATTATAAAATATTTCAGTGTATGTTTGTTGGTTTCTAGAACACCTAAATAATTTTTATACGTTAAAATTCATTTTACTCTGAAGAGAGCTAAATTAATAAGGGTTATTTAATAGGCATTTTGAAGTAATGTATTCACTTTTTACACAGCGCACTTTATTCGAGAGATATTCTGAAAATGTCCCTAGAACGTAAATACGTCTTTTAGACGTCTTTAAAATATCCCACCATGGAGGTCTATGCTGTCTATATATTTTATTATATTCTAAGCATAAAAAATATAATGGTGACATGACTAACTAAACAAGTTTTATCACATTTTTTACATGTGTTATTGTTCACATTGGATGTAAGTAGATGTAATTTTTGAATAAGTTACAACGATCCATATCGCACATGCATATGAAATATTATGCATTATGTATCCAAAAGAACAGAAACCCGCTCTACAAAATAGTGTACGAATTATTGCGTTTCATCGTAGTTATCTTCCGACTCCGACCGTTTCGTAAAAGCGAGATAAAAATGACCTCGAACAGGACTGATTGGCCTGATTGTTGACGTTGACGGTCACGGGTCAACAACCATTTGACACTGTCGTGTAGCGCTCGCGAATCACACGACACAAATTGGGAACACGAAATGACATGACGGCACGTGACTTTGATCGAAACATCGGAAGGAAAGTTGGCAGGATTTCCACATGCTAACCGCTATTTTTTAATGTATATGTTATATACATATGCGCTTGGCTTAGCGCCAAGACACTGCCGTGTCTCCAGATATTCGTGCTGCTGTTTTTCATAGTGCTAAAGAGCTGTAAATTCCATATTCGCGACCACGACCGATCGAATGCCATCAACATGACGCGCGACCATTATAACCGCGATGTATACGGTTGCGTAAACTCGAAGAATCGATTCCAGATGTACTTATTCCTTCGAATGCGATCACCGTTAACAATTGTTTATTAAAGTCAAATTAGTTGCGAATTCTTGATCTTTATCCAAAGTTGGTAAACTTATTTTATAAAAATAATTAACTCGTTATATATATATCTGCATATTACTGATTTAAAAGGTTACTTATTGTTACCATTATTTAAAAAATTAAAAGTCGTTACGATTTCCGTTCCTTCTTCAATGAATTCTGATAGCTTCTTTTTTATAGAATGGCATTCAATTATTTTAGACATTAATTGACCAGTTCAACACGAGATCTACAATTATATATGATAACGATGATTGTGATTTATCGCAACATACAGTCATAATATCTTCTCCTTTCAAAACTCACTTATATACATAAATAAAGAAATAATGTCGTTACCAATTTATTGTTAATGAAAATTAATTGAAAAATGATAATTGTAATGTTTAACGACTTATATTTTTTATTCGTGACTAATAGTAACAGTTACTTTTATCGTTACTTCATTATTATTTATTATATATGTTTAATATATTATTATATATATAGTATGTACGAAAAACTTGCATACAAGCAAATTTAAAAAAAATGTTATGTGTAACTATATTGCAATTAACTGTACTTAACTATCATAAGAATTATAAATCTTGTGTTAGACTGGTCAATTAGAGTAATCAGAATAATTAAATGCCATTCTTAACATAGTGCTTCTTAATTCTATCTTTATTGATCACGGATCTATGATTCCTCCTTTGTAAAATGTTATCAAAATTTATTTCTAATGATATCTCGGTAAGTTCCAGAACGATACTGGTTTTATGATTCGTGAAAGGCCGCGATTAGTTTCGTCCTGCTGACCTGGATGGAGCGATCGAACAGTAAAGTGTCGACCCATTTTTGGTCCTACGGAGCAGGAAGTCGCTTAATAGAAACGCAAATTGGACGCTGAAATTTTATTCAACGTGTGCTCTGTTCTTTATCTTTTGTTTTTTTTTTTTAGATTTTAACTGCAATTTAAAAACGGATTATGATGAAAAATGGAAGAACTCTATTCCAGAAATAGATTTGCTTTACTTGGTACTTCTTGTATAGCAAGTCTCTTAATTCATGTTACACATAGAAAATTAAAACATTAACGTCCGTCGACGTGCCATTCAAGCGCTTACGCAAGGTCGGAAGCCGCAAATTCGATTATCAAGAGTGGTGTCAATCGTATCCACACAATCAGCTTGATCGTTACTGGCATTGTCAGTGTACAAGTAGCCCGTTTACGTTGAAGCAGAGTAAAATATTCATAAAAGAAATTTCTCTCATGTTTGCAACAATCCCGAAGGTAGGGAACTACGACTTTCCATAATAACATATGGTGACCATAAGACACAATTCTACCTATTTCTTTCCGACCGGTGCGGCAGATCATTCAGTTGGTTACGCAACGATTGTATCGAATCTCATTTATAGATTTCTTTTATAAAGTGAACAGTTAATTTGGAAACTAAATTATGCAAGTGTAACTTGCCAAAGTATCCTATGTTATGTTTGCTGTTACGCAGTGTAGAAGCTGAAGAATATTCTGGAGTCTACTTCTCTTTTCAAGCAAGTTTTTAATATTCTTAAAATATTAAAAACATGCTTGAAGATAAGATGCAATATGATAGAAACACATGAATGTATGCTCTCACTTCTTTATATCCAGGATTTATTGCGTATTTATCTTGTTAATAATAAAAGCAAGGAACAATTATCGACAGAAAACGGAACTTCTCATTCATTACATAAATGTTATGCTCTTTATCAATTTTCCAAGTCAGCATTTAGAAAAAAAGGTCATTGCTGATATATGTGGCTGTGGGAATAAACTGGGGAGATTATAGTTCAGGTTCAAGGTCGGTTGAAGCAGGAAGCGAACAGTGTATGTCGAGTGAAGAAATGAGAACATGAAGTCGATGATAAGAAAGCTTATGTTCTCATTCTCGTCTCTAATACCTCTCACGCGAGGTAGAATATAGATAGTGATAATATTGATATTGATGAAACGTTGACGAACCATTTCGTAGAAGTTATTTTAATAATCAGTGTTTACAATGAATATATTAATCACCAATGTTGATTTATTTTCGTTTACAATTTTTATTTGATCAAAATGTACCATGATTATGAATATAATATTCAGTAAGAAAGTATTATATCTTACGCCATTTAGACAATATAATATTAGATCGTATCACTTTTTTCTTTTTTTCGCGAGCTTCTTTAATAATAATAATCGATAATACCTCTATATAACTTAGACCTAGTCGAGATAGATCCGTTATTCTCGTTTTTCTTTTTATCACTTTTATCACCTACAATTTATTATTCAACTACACGTTCCTACTTGCGGAGATCCCTTTCTCTAACTCAAATGTCTCTCTCTTTTATTCTGTTCTACTCGAACCCTTGTGTATCCCAGATTTCACGACCGATTGACACTTGTTGCGCCTGCTAGCCTTTGTCAATCATCTGCGCAGACTTTTTGATTCAAGATGCGCTGAGATGAGCAAAGATGCAATTCTCTAATCAATTCTCATACTATCAATTATTTGGTCGGTGCAACAATTCTTGTCGATATGGATAAATATATCTACGTATATTTTAGTACGACTTTATCGGCAGAAATATTTATGATTTTTGTAAGTTAACATCTCAGCATTGACAGTTGTGCACGACAAACCAGATATAAAGAAATATAGCCTTACATCGTATATTACGATTAAAAATGGAGTCAGATAAAGAGCACATTCGCCACAGCCTTTTGTTTTGTTTTCACCAAAAGAAAAATGCTCCTGATGCACACACAATTATTTGTGACACATATGGTAAAAATATGAAAGCCATTATAACGTATGCGAATTGGTTTAAACGATTTAAAGACGGTGATAAAGTTTCAATATCAGTGATAAAGAATGACGTCTTGCAACTAGACAAATTGCAAGAATTGCTTAATGAAGATTCAGCCCAATCGACTCGTGAGCTTACAACACAACTGGGAGTTGATCATTCAACAATTTTTCACCGTTTAAATGCAATGATAAAAATACAAAAGTATGGAAAGTGGGTCTTGTTGCATGACAATGCCGGGCAACATGTTGCTAAGGAAACCAAGGAAGCATTGTTAGAGTTGGAACAGGATGTTCTCCCGCATCCAACTTACTCACCAGACATTGCCTCTTCTGATTATTATCTGTTTAGATCGATGCAACACGGCTTATCTGGTGAACGCTTCTCAAATACCGAGGATATACGAAAATGGGTCAATCAATGAATCACCTCAAAGGATAATTTCTTTTTTTCGACGTGGTGTCCATATACCGCCGGAAAGATTAAAGAAATCGTGGAACACGATGGAAAATATATCGATTAATATATTATAAATATAATGTACCGATCTTCTTATTATAATAAAAAAAATTGCAAAAAATCGACAAGAACTTTTACACCGACCTAATAAATAAAATTATAAAATGTAAAATTAATATTAACAAAATATTGGGGAAGTTGTAAATTCTCTTTCTTTAGAATCTTTATATAACATATTCGCGTAAAATCGTTGGCAGTTTTTTCGTACATCCAAGAGTTAATTCAAATCATCAACAACGCTTAAAGGTATATAATTAGGAAATTAGTTTATGTGAAGGGAAATTGAAAATGTATGTCTTGAATTGAAAATTCTAATAAATCGAATGAACGGAGGAGAAATAGAGGAGACAAAGAGAAAAAGGAAGAAGGAAGGTATTACTCCTCGAGATTGAGTATACGGGGATGATATCGATCCATCCCTTCCACGAACTGCCATACGTTCCCCACCAGCTTTCTCCTCTTTCTCTCTTTACGGTCCGGCAGACACTACCCTCCATTCTCAGTTCGGATTCCTCCAGCCGACCGGCCGGGTTGTCACTCGGCCCGAGATGCCATGCCCGAGGCCATCGCCGGTTCCTCCGGGAAGTCGTTCCTGCAGCGAGCGCGGGACAAAGTTCTCCGCTGGTTACGACGCTCCCTGCGAACGACGCACCAGGTGAAAGCACTGTTTCATCCCTCGAAGGAGGTGGTCATCTCAATTTTTTACTCTCACGATTCGTACAACTGAATAAAATATTTTCCGAGAAGGCGAAATCTCCGTACTCTTCTTGCTGTTCTTCTCCAGCTGTTTTCAATGAAAGCAGCAATTCATAAATTTTATTAAAGCTTTCTAAATTTGTGAAATTCGAATTTTTTTTGTTGAAAACTGAGAATTTTGAAACTTATAATTGATGAAATTTTAATACAGTTCGTTAAAATCGGAGATTCTAAGATATTTTTCAAATACTTTCTGAAAAAGAAGATATATTCAAATTTTTCTCAACATAAAATATTTTTGTATCGTTGTGATAAACAAAATATAATAAAACAATGTACGTTATGTATTTATTTAAAAAACATTATGAAACGCACATAATCCATAAGAGATATATGGGTCAATTCTAAGCAAACGTATCGTTAAATCGTAAAATCACAAACTGTAATGCTTATAACTTGACGTAATGTTTTTACACACAACTTCTTGCTAGCCGTAAGATTTACGAGAAATCATAAGTATTTACGAACAATCGTATGCTTTACGATAGAGAATTACAATTCAATTAAAAGTTCTTATAAATCTTACGAGAACAAGTTACGAGCCTTACGAGTTTGCATAGAATTGACCCAATATATAGTCTCCAACATTATTTTATTTTTTAATTTTTAATTGTATTCATTATTTATTACCTACATAAAAATAGCAAGTCGTAAATTAACTAAGCAAATTTCAACTTAATTAGAAAGACATTAAATAGTTAACGATATTTTTGCTGCAAAATTATTCTCATTTATATTTACTTATCGTGAAGAAAGTATTGTATTATTGTAAAGAAACACATTTTTCTACGTCTCTATATGACGTTTAAGTATTAAGGAAAAGATAAAAGTACTAAATATCATTAAATCTTTAGTTAAAAATCTGTAATACAAAGCAATATTTTGACCATATGTTACAAAGTGCAGGATCGATTCGATGGTTATTTGACTATGGATAATTTGTGTAATTTATCTGAACAAATATGTTAATACATATTATTTTTAAAGCCTGTATAAAACAAAAATCAATTTCGAAAATATTATTTTCTCATTATATGTAGATATACTAATATTTTTAATTTTATATCATAATTATTACTTTAAAATATTTCTAATATATATGTATATAATATATGATACTATAATGTATCGTAAAAATGTATAAAATCTATTATGCTGTTGAATAATGTGAACAATAGTTATGTCAACAGGTTTTTTGCTTGCTATTGTATGTACAGAGGCACAAAGAGTGAAGAATTAAAGTGTATACTGCATAATAATTTAAACGTTATTCTGTCAACAATCGTAATTAGTGTAATCTTCTAAAACAACTCAATAATACGTATTTTCTTCTCAGAATAACTTTAATAAAACAGTTTGCACTTATGAAAGTAGACTGCTGTCTGCGAAAATCAATATTTGTATCGATTCTTTATGAATTGCATGAATAAAGTAACCTAGGGTGATTAATGTACTTATCTAGCTTTTGTGTATCTAGAATGCCCTAAAAACAATCTTTTACACTTCTCTCGGAAACTTTTCAAAGCAAAAATCTCATGAAAAAATTGAAGCGATTTCCATAAATATAACTTTTTCTTTGTCAAAAAATATTTTGAATATTAATTATTTATATAATATAATTGAATTGATTTAGAGATAAAAAGAGATAAAAAGAGATTTATTTGGTTAAATTGAAGTCAGTATGCAGGTATTATATGAAGTCTGGAACATTCTGTATATCTGTTATGTAAAACATTTGCTGCTTTTTATTTTACTTCTACAATTTTCTGTTTTGTTAAATTTTCTATTTTCTATTGTTAAAAAAATAAAAAATAGTAAATAGAAAATAGAAAATAGAAATATTTTGTTTAATCATACAATATCGAAAATGTCAAATAAATATCTGCTTGCAAATAAAATATATTAATGTATAAATAATAAATACTATTTGTTCTTCTTTTGTATATTTACTACACAAAATAGTTAAATAAAAAGTTCAATCGGATAATTAAGTATCGGTGTTGTAAGTATTGGCCTTAAATATTGTAATTAACAAACTTACACGTGTCTAACAATTATATTTCACATGTTACAATTATATTTCATGTAACGTACGTTTCGACTAACTGTTAGCTATTTTCAGCATGGAATAAACATAAATTATATTTTATGACATATTACGTTAGATAGATTCCAGACGTCCTCCAACAATTCCCCCGTAATCAATTGAATGGTCTCATGAGATTATGATCTTAAATATAATCAAAATAATTATACAAGGTATCCGGAATTTAAATGTCAAAACTTAGAGGATCGATAAAAAAAAGGGTGTTATAAAAGACATGCTCTTTTTATTTATACTATATTTTCTTTCTGCTTTTGATATTTGTGCCATCATCAAAACACTTCGTGAATGTAGGAAATAATACAAATTGCATAATGAAAGCGAAGGTAATTCTTTGCTGAGTTAGCGCAGTTAGCGCAAGAAATACCGGCATTTTTATTTTTCCCATTTGAGATCTCTATTTTCCAATATAATTACGAGGGCAAATCAATAAGTACTCGTGTTAGTAATAAAAACACAAATTTTTCACAAAATTTTTTTTTACTTTTCAACGTAATACCTTTTTACGAGGATATACTTTTCCCAACTCTTCTACCATTTTTTAACCTCTTCTAAAAATACGATTTATCGAACTCTGCAAAATAGGCTTTTGTTCCGGCGATGACTTCCCCATCAACATGCATCTCTTTCCACTAAACCATTTTTTCAAGTTTGAAAACAAGAAAAAGTCGCAGGGGGCCAAATCCGGAGAGTACGATGGATTTATTTTATAATGTATAGCAATTTATAGCGCATTTCGACCAATTTAGCGACTGCGGAGGAGTAAGGCAGTGCATCGTCATGGTAAAACAACACTTTTTCGCCAAATGGGGCCGTTTTTTCTTCAATTCAACATCGAATTGGCTCAATAAATCAGTATAATCAATAAAGATCATGCCTTGATCATTCCAAAAAATAGGCCATCACCTTTCCGTCCGATGGGACCGTCTTGGCCTTCTTCAGAGCATGTTTACCGAGTAAAGTCCATATTTTAATTGTTCCTTGGTCTCCAGTATGTAGTGATAAATCCATGTTTTATCAACGGTTACGATTCGACGCAAAAACTTCTGCAGATTGTACTTAAACAGCTTCAAACACTGCTTCGAAATTGAAAGCCGCATTTGCTTGTTGTCCATCATGAGCAATCGCGGCACCCATCGACCCGACAGCTTTTTCATTTCCAAATTATCATGCAAAATATTAAATGCTGTTCCGTACGACACGCCTACGATCTCTGCTGCTTCACTCCTTTTCGTTCGGCCATCAGCGAGAATGTCGTGGACCTGCTCAACCATTTCCTCAATAACCACGTCTATTGAGCGGCCTGGGCGCTATTTTTTGATGGAGGTGGCTTGTTACGAGTAGAAAATTAAAAACCAATGTTGAACTTTTGTTTGTGAATTTACAACTTTCCATGCGAAAGTAAAAAACGGGTTGGATTAGATTAGTTTTTTCGATAGTGGCGCTCACCGTTGGGGGAGGGAATCTTCCGCATCCATACGTACACTTTACAATGCAAAGCGTATTGAAAGCTGTTATCGAACTGTGAGAACTACGTCGACTGTTCATGAAATACCTGTAACTTTCTATGACTTTCTGACTTTATTTATTTACATTCTTTAAGAGATTAGTACGACATATACAAATTTCACTATTCGTAATATATCTCCTGCATCAACGTTATCCTTGATTATCTTTTACAATTTAGTGCTCAAATTTTTTCTTCGGAATTAGTTGCATATTTCGGGCCGATTTTTGAGGCGACGCCTACTGTCTTCCCACTACCATTCAAGAGTCGGCGGTCTATTTTAATGATATTTGCCGGAAGGTGTACTTCTACCATACTTTCTGTATCGCGATGCTCCTGCAGCACAGCATCACGTGAGCGATCGGCGGCTCGGTCACCGAGTCTCGAGTGGTAGTGGGGAGATAGTAGGCATCGCCTCAGAAATCGGTCCGAAATGTGCAACTAATTCCGAGCACTGCAACAGAAGTTTAATTTACTATACCTCCTAAATCAATACCGTTCCCCACTTAATTCTTGTGGAGAATCACTCAGAACACTCTCCTAGAATATATCTATATAAGCACAATGAAGTCGGTGAAGTGTCATCTAAGATACATATTTACCTAAACTTGATAATATTTATTTCAACAATAATGATAGTGTCTAAAAAGTTAATTCGATCATTTCCAATTTCACTAAGCTCTATGATAATAAAAATTAAATTTTTCAAGACCTATTTTGACTTTGGATAAAAAAATAGCCATAACTATAACATCAACATCTATAATAAAAGGAAATGATACATGAAATCATACAAAACTTAAAATTTTTGGGTTTATCTTCATTGAAATATATAAGAAACTTTCATTTTTACTATATAAATTTTGTACTGCAAATTAATTTTTACATCTTAATTTGTAGAGAATTGCATTTATACATTTATTCTTCTTCTTGAAATAAATTCGCAAATCTTTTTCTTAATAAATATTGTATAACTTACAACTTTATTTGCCATATTAGATCGATGGACATGCTACGGAAACAGGACCGGAACTCGACGAGGAAATGGAGAAGGTCTTTGCGATGGACACCGGGGAAAAATTCGACGTAGCTCGTCTTGGATCACCTTCGGAATCGACTGGATCTGATCGAGATCGCGATCGTGGACCACTTCCACGATATGGTGGCGATCGCGATTTCAATCGTAAGTCGTACTATTCCTGATAAAAAAAAGTTGATGGAGAACGAAAGAAAAATCTTATTGTTTTGAATATGGAATCTGGTTCGTACTAAATATTAATTTGAATCAAATCTTGTAGAAATTTTGTATAAATCTTATAGAATCCCATAAAATACGGAAGAATGTGTATTTGATCAATCGTGATGCTCGCGAAGTTGACGATAAAAAAAAAAAACGATATAGAATAGAAATCGGTAAAAATTCTATTGTTCCCAATTGGCCTCTAAGAATCCCTCATCAATATTTTTTAATTTAATTTCATCGTTTTTTTTTTTTAAATTGAAAATAATAAAAATGCACTTTTTAGAATATCGTAAAAAAAGCTATCCGCATCCTCATACGCCCTTGAAGAGTCTGCATTCCAGATCTATGCGACGACATCTTTCTCCGTAAGTTACTCGATAAAAGTAAACATTTGACAAAATTTATCTTCATCAAAAGGTTTTTGCTTTGTCGACTTGAAATCTTATAATAAAAATTATACGAGTCAAAGAACTATAACTCTTCCATATAATTAAACGTATGATGCGCAAACGATTGATTTCTTTCATGAATAAGAGACATGGTCGATTTAATATTCTTGACAAACTTTCAAACCAATAAACATTTAGTTTCTCATAATCCTAAGAGAATTTTGCAAGTTTTAAACGAGTAAAAGTTTATTAATTCGATGCACGTGAAAATGTTTCCGCTGAGAAAATAAACTTTGCGTTTCTTCAATTGTCTTTCTTAGTGAAGGATCGACGGCGGAAATGTCCATCGAAGAGGACCATATTAATATCCAAGCGGAGAACGAGATTCAGAAAGTCGACGGGGTGAACCGTAATGGATTGCAATCGATCAATACAGTAGAAGCCGAAGCCGAAGTTGATGAAGAAACGATAAAGACCAAAAATGTAGACAATAATGAGAACGAGGCGCCGATCTCGGAAAGGGCGGCTTCCAGTTTCAGCCCAATCATTGACAGTCCGAGGGTACAATTTGAGAAGATCAAGGAAGAAGATGCATCAAGTACGCAAACACTGGAAATGCTAACGAGTACTATTCCGAGTGGCCATGAGGAAGATCGGAATCGCCGACGGCACCAGAAGCACGAACATAAGTAAGTTGACTTTTGACGATTTGTAAAGAATGCAGGAGACAGATAGAAATAAAAGAATAGAAAAAAATCATTGCACGATCTAATTAACACACACAACAGCGTTAAACAAAATGTACCTTTTTAAGTTTCTGATTAGTAAAACAATATTTTTTGAGAATATAGATCAAACAAAGTAACTGTAACTTGAATATCATGTCAGCATATATTATATGCACAAATCCGAATCTTCTTCGATATTTAAGGGAAAAGTTTGAATCTGGCGATCGCATTTCGTGTCACAATTTCTGCGGACTCATATTTACGCTGTGAACTATGCAATTATGAGCACGAAACGGTCGACCTTTATTTTGTACCATTCTAAGCGATGAGCTAGATTCGCAGATTCGTGACAATTCCAGTACAGAGCGGTACCAAGTCAGATAATTACGACGAAAATACAATTTGTAAAAATAGTACAACCACCAATCATGGTTCTTTATTGCCAACAAAAATCTAGATTCGGAACTAAATTAGAAAGAATAAATTATAACAAACAAATCGATGGAAACAAATAATTAGTACATGCGTATTCACCCTCCGAGCTGGTAGGAGGACGCAAGATCCTCTCAGAATTATCGCAATAGTGACGGATAAAAATTGTCACTTTTATTGTGTTAGATTTTTTTATTAGAGTTTACAACATTATTTATTTATTATTCTAATTCTTCTTATGAATGAAATCTTATAAAAGAGCCTAACTAATCACTCTATTCTTCCAGACGTCACCATCACAAATCTCGCAAATACTCTCTACAGGAGGATCCGCAATGGCGAAAACGATCTGGAGCTGGTCTTCCAGATAGTTCGAGCCTGCTGGCTCGACGTGTCAGCGTCCAACCGGAAGAAGCGAGCACTTTACAGGAACTCGACATCGACGATTTGGAGTCACATCGTAGTGACGATCCACGTGGCATGCGCCGGCACAAAGCCGCTTACTCGACGGTGCAGATAGGCCGACGAAAAGAAGGCGGCATTTTCCATGACACCTTCAAGAAAATGTACGATCACTCGCCGCACGAAGTATTCGTCCAACTGGACGAACTACATGGCTTGGGCGAAGAACGTGAATGGCGAGAGACCGCCAGATGGATCAAATATGAAGAGGACGTTGAGGAGGGTGCTGACAGATGGGGCAGACCTCATGTGGCTTCTCTTAGCTTTCATTCACTACTGAATCTTCGCCGTTGTTTAGAAACTGGTGTAATCCTTCTTGATCTGGAGGAAAAGGATTTGCCTGGGCTGGCTTACAGAATAGTCGAGCAAATGGTCATCGAAGAGCTTATCCTAGCCCAGGACAGACCGGTTGTGATGAGAGCACTCCTACTCAGACACAGGCATGTGCACGAACACGAACGTTTCCGTTTCGGTGGCAAGAGGAACTATTCTAGTTACACCAGCCTTCAGGTAATTCATCCGTAACTAATGATATTTTTTACATAACATGCATCATGCACACAAAAACGGCTAACTTTTAATTAAAACTCGCGAAATACGCTTCGAGTCGGAAAATAGTTTGTGTCGAAAAGTAAATAAGCACTGATGAAAGGTAAAAAATCATGATAATCAATTGCTCAACAGGTAACAACCGTATTTATAGGTTTCAAGATTGCTATATAAATTAGATTTGACAAATTCCGTCTCAATTTTAGTTCCACAAACTGATGCAACCCTGGGTTTGCAACGCAGCTTGCACGTTTGGAATCATGTGACTGAAACGGAAAGTAATCGTGACGACTGTAATGAATGCTGATGTATTTTACCGTGTTCGCGCATTGAGACTTAAAAATAAAACAATTTTATATGAATGCTGCAGTTTATGGAAATATCGAAGATTACCTGCAAGGGCAGATGTATCGAACGCGATCAGTAGTGAGTAGTCATAACGAGTGTGGTAGCAGGGAATACATTTAACAGTACTAATATTATTTCCACAGTCCATCTGGCTGGAGGAAGAAGATGCTGCGCGGGAACCTGCTGAGAGCCATGTAACACAATATGTAAATCTCTCGTTTCCCGAATCAAACGCAGTTTTTTCATTTCTGTTACTCTAGTCTTTCATTCTATTCACTCGCACTTCTCATTTAAATTCTTATGTACTTTTTAAAGTCTGAATTTAAAGGGAGGAGGGGCAATGAGCATATATAACGATTTTGTAAAAGTTCTCTCTTAAGGGGGTCGATTATATATACATATATCAGTCTCAAAACGTGAATCAACAATTTATATCAATACTTCGAATATTTTTAATTTGATAATATTCTGTGTGGTAAATGTTCATTTTAGGGGACATATGTTGTCAGGGTCATGACCTTGACAGTATATGTCGAGGCCAAGATCTTCGAAGTCCCCTAAAGTCAAAATTTACTTCATGTGTTTTATATACTTTGTTGACAACAAAGTTAACATTAAACGTTAAGTTGTCATCAGTTTCAATAGAAGGGTAAATATATAATAATACAGAATATTGATTGGACCCGGTAAAAAAATTCATATACACAGGGTGTTCCGAATTTAAATGACCGAACTTTGAGAGCGTGCGGAAGAAAATGTGGCAGATGACAGTAAACAAAGATAAACAATAAACAAAGATCCGACAGTGGTACGAAACCAGACACCTAGCTTCAACGATCGTGATCGGAATTTTTATATCACGTTTTTACTTATAAGGCAAAGGCAAGGCACTGTCCTTGTAATGCTCAAGTATCCAACACGTTCTAGAACACGTGCGAGAAAAAAAGAAGGAACAAGATCACACATACTCGTTCTCGTAGAATCTGTTGACACAGGAAGTAATCGGCATGAATAATTTTGCCAAAGAGGTCGGAATTAACAATAAATAGCGATGATAAATTTAGGTTCCGATATTAATGTTGAAGACTTTCGAGTCTCATAACTCGAAAAGTACTTAATGAAAATGAACTTCATTATAGTGTTTTGAAAAGCTCTTGATATCAGCTATTAGATTCTGGAATAAAAAATATGTTCCATTTAAAAAAATCGATGTGACCTTGACCTGATCTTAACGATGCCATTCAAGGTCAAATAAATGATATCTTATGACTCCACCTTTTGTTTGTTTGAAACATTTTTTGTATCTATCATAATTTTTGAGAAATCTCAATGCATTATTTAAAATGGGACACCCTGTGTTCTATTTTAATATTATATGAAACATTTTTTACCGGGAAATATTGTGAGTTAACAATGCTCAGCTTAAAATCCATTTTAATTATATTATACTTTAGTCTTTGTAATTAAATTTTTTCAGGGTTGAATAAATTAATGTTTTTTTAAACTAAATTATATTAAAGTTATTGATTTATTAAATTAAGTTAAAGAAACAAAAAATTAACTTAATGAAGATTAAGATTAAATTTTAACTAAAGTTTAAAAAAAGTTAATTTTGAAAAAAACTACTTTTGACATAAGTATATTTTAATTTTTCTTAAAATAAAATTACTTTAAATAATAATTAAATTACATAAAAATATAAATTATTAAATAAATTTATTTTTTTTTAATTTATTTTTTAGGGAGACTACGTATATTAATTAATTATTAATTTAATTTAATTCGTGATAGTATCGCGGTAATTTATAATTGTAAGCGATTAACTCTTCCTAAATTTGATAGAGAACTCTAGAATTCTTCGAGGGGCAACCAGAACTCTGCTTATTTTTTCAAAATTTTGACAATGAGGGGCCAGCTTCACAGACGTCAAAACTGACTATCATACACCATGATTGTTATTATAGGATTTCTAATCACAAATTTATTGCGCTTTTTCTTATTTTTATTTATTAAATTTATTAAATTAATTCTTTAATGTTTAAGATCTTATAGAGAAAAAAACATTGGCACATTAAGAGAGATAAAAAAATTTAATTTTAAAAAGTTAATAAATTAAAGTTTAAAAGTAACTAAATTAAAAATTAATGCGTTTAAAATTAACTAAGTAAGTTAAGTTAAAAGATATTAACTTTTTTAATATTTTTAACATTTTAACCAGTTACTACCCAACTCTAAATTTTTTAGTTTTAACTTTGAAACTAGTGAAAGGTTTATTGAAATAAAGTTTTGCTTTATGTCCTTCAGTTTCATAATGTAATAAATAAAATACCGTATTTTTCACTTCGTAACATAAATAGAACAATCACAGCACATTCTCAGAGCTTGCAGTTTTTTCATTGTGTTGTGTCTTCACGGTGCTTTCTTAGCACGACTAGTCTCACCTGGGTTAAATGAAATTTATAAATATTTGTGTAATGTCATTTATCGATGGTTAATGACTATAAAAACACTTGTGATCGTATATTGCGCTTATCCATTATATTCCTTGTAGTTTTAAATTCTTTTTTACTTAATTTTTGTTTATTATCACGAAACAAATCAAAAGATATGATGTGTCTTTCGCACTAATATACGGATGCACTATTTCAATCTCATAAATATCAATCAAGGTTGCCACAGATCGGAAATTAAAACTAAAATTATTTCAAGGAAATTGAAATTAGCCATGAAAAACCGGGAAAAATATTTAAAAAATCTAGAATTTTGGACTTTGCTCATGATTTCCTTAACTGTTCTTATTCCAAATAATTGTTATACTATTTTAAATATTATACAGTGTCTCAGACCACTCATGTACTCCTTTTATCTTCGCAGAATAACATCCAATTAAAAATATATTCAGACAATAGTATTTTTGGGTTTAAAAAGATCTTATTATTCCTCTTATCAATTTGACTTTGGGTAGCCAAGGTCAGAACAAAGTCATATCAATTTTTTAATTGGAAATCCTCCTTATTGCATATTCTTATAACTCATCTCGATAACTTTTCAAAATACTATAATTTGTTATTAAATACTTTTTAGTCATAAGGTTAAAAGTTGCTATCGCTGGCATTAGCATTATTTAAGATGTTCGATTGATGGTTAAAATTTTTTAAAGCTCGGTTTTTCATTATCTCTGGTTAACTTGTAATTAGATTTTTACCTGATATTTTATCTAATAGATTTCATCTATGATGTCATAGATAAAGTCCATTGGATGAAATATGAATCAGATTAAGTTTAACCACAAGTTAACTAATAGATAATAAAAAACCAAATCTTAATGTTGTTCAGGGACATGATTTTGACATCATATACCAAGATCAAAGCTTTTAGAAGTTGTTTCCCTTATTTTCATTTTTAGATAAATAAAAGTAAAAAGATAACATTTAAAAGGTTTTATATATAACCATAAATCCGATATCTTAAATAATATATGCTAATGTCAGTGGTATTGTAATCGTCAAGCTTTATAACTAAAAAAATACTTAACAAATATTTTGTTATAATGTTTTGAAAAGCTCTCGAGATAAAATACAAAAATATGTAATAAGAAGTGAGTTCCCGTTTGAAAAAATTATTGTGACCATGGCATTGCTATTCAAAGTCAAACTGATAAGAATAATAAGTAGAGTGTATTATAACTTGCGTACTTGCATACTTAATAAAATAATTAAAATTTATTTTTTGTTCAGTGTTTTTTTATTTGATCGATTGTTGCCGTAACTTTATTCCTTTTTTCAATACTTGTTTATTTTTCATTGGTTTGAATTTGCATTCAAGATTTTACTATGCTACTAAGCTTTTAAAAAAACTTCGCACATTTTCATAAAGGTTTGGGCTATCCAGTCATCAATAATAATTTTATAAATAAGAATGTAGTATTTAAGAAGAAATAGGTTTAGATGAATTGGCGACATTGAGTTAGGCTACGTTTCTATTCCAAGCTATGTTTTTCTTCGCTCTAATCAGGCGGGCTCGACTTATGGCAAGAGTATTGCTATATTCATCCAGTCGCTTTCTTATTCTTATCTTCAATATTTTTTCTACTAGTTTGATAGTTAAGCGGATGGGTATTCTGTTGTATCTTAATCGCAAAAGAATCCTAGTTGTCTGCATGTATCGCTCTCCTCGATCACCGATAGCTGATCTCCATTACGTCGAGTCCTATCTTTTCGGCGTTGCGTATCCACTGTGTCAATATCACAGTGTACATAGGCAACTTTGTATGCTTTCATTTTAGGGAACATACTCGACACAAACTATTCTATTCTTCTTGACATTCATCGAATGACAAAGATAGAACGACGTTTGTGTCGAGTGTGTCCTTTAAAAGGAAAGCATACTTTAATATCAAATGTGTCTTCCAACAAGCAACATAGATAACACAATATGACACAGTGCATCATTACATCCTTGTTCGCCAATGTTAAACAAGGATGAAATGATTACAGTGTTATACTGTGTCGTTTGTTGGAAACCACATTCAACTTGCACGTTCTGATCGTAGGATGGGATAGTTGCACTCTCTGATGTCGCCTCTCTCTCAGACAAATCATTAATTTGCCGATTCGCATAATGTCCATTTCAGAGTTACTTACCGACTTAATCATGGTTTCGTCTGAAATTGAGATACTTAATTCTAGCATTTGTTACGCTTTTGCGATTAGCGACCATTGTATTGTTTTTATTGAACTGCTCTTGGTGAAGCCATCATATCTAACACAAACTTTTCTGTCTCGTAACATCATTTCTAATAATAGTATAAGCTAACTTTCCTATAATCCCTTCTAAATATTAAAATTTACATATTTTATATTATGAAAAATTCTCCATCTGGAAAATCTGAAATAATCTGAGAATTTCAAAATTTATTGTCTGAGGCAGCCCTGCTCGATATTTCTTTATGTATAATGTATTTTTCGTACTGTCTTGCGAATATGCATCCATGAGAGTATAATATATAGCGATTTTTTCTCACTTTCTAATTATAATTTTTTTTATCACAAGCATACTTTCTTATCATAAGATATTTACTTCAATTAATATCTTCCATAATTGTGAAATATTTGAGCTAAAAACCATTACACTGCTCTCTTATAATACTTTTTTATTCTGATTAATTATTATAAATGAATCAATAAATAAAAAAATCAATTTCTTTTTTTATAGGGTTTCACGTTATTATTAAACATTTTTCTTTACAAATTAAATAATATCATGAAATTATAGATAGATAAAGAAATTAGTTCTAATTACTCAATGATATAAGTTGTTCTGGATTCAAGATATTGAGAAATAACTGATTGAATTTTCTTTCTAAAAATCTATGTAATCTTTCTTGGCGGAAATAAAACATTCTCAAATTGTTCTATAAAAATTTGAAACATCCAACAGAATCTACACGATGCGAAGCCGAAGATCATATCATCGAACATGGCACTCGACAGCAATCATGCAGTAGTCGATATCAAGGAGGAGTTGACGTACATGAGCAGTAACGAGGACTTGAAGAAAGGTCACAATGATTACATTCTCAAAAGAATCCCAGCTGGTGCTGAGGCAACAGTCGTACTTGTCGGTGCCGTCGACTTTTTGGATCAGCCAACGATAGCCTTCGTACGATTGGCCGAAGGTGTACTTATGCCGTCTATTACGGAAGTCACGATACCAGTCAGATTTATGTTTACCTTATTAGGACCGAGAAACGCAGACCTGGACTATCACGAAATTGGCCGGTCTATCTCCACTCTAATGGCAAACACGACATTTCATAAAGTCGCTTATAAAGCCAACGAGAGACGAGAGTTGCTTTCAGCTATTAACGAGTTCCTAGACGATTCGATTGTATTGCCACCTGGCAACTGGGAAAGACAAGCTTTGCTACCGTTTGACGAACTTAAGGCGAAGAGTGAGGCTATCAGAAAACGGAAAGCGAGAGCGCTCGAAGAGAAAAGCAAACCGGAGCAAAATGAAGTAGCCGGAAAAAAAGGTAATAATTTTTCCAAATAACTCGATAAAAGAACATCTTGATAGTTGAATATTTGCTTTTTGATTTTTACTTATTAATCTCATTCCTTCATCTTTAATTAATTATTATCGCCTATAATATAATGTATATGTAACAGCTCTTTTTGCCGACGAAGAGGAAAAGAAACCATCAGAAGATGATGACGATCCATTGCGACGTACCAAACGACCATTCGGTGGCCTCATCAACGACATTAAGCGCCGTTACCCTTTCTATTTATCCGATTTTAAGGATGGTTTGAGCTCATCCTGCCTCGCGGCTGCTATCTTCATGTATTTCGCTGCACTATGCGGCGCCATCACATTCGGTGGCCTGATGAGTGATAAAACACAGAATGTAATAGGCATTTCCGAGACTCTTATTTCTGGTTCGTGGACGGGCGTGATAATGGCATTATGTGCCACTCAACCGCTGGTGATTATCGGCACAACTGGTCCGCTATTGCTCTTTGACGAGAGCTTATACAATTTCTGCTTGGCGAACGAGCTTGAGTTTCTCACCGTACGGGTATATGTTGGCGCCTGGATGGGTATCATCGCCTTGGCAATTGCCTGCGTCGAAGGTTCCGTTCTCGTACGACTCTTCACGCGCTTCACCGAGGAGATCTTCACTGGATTGATTTCTATCCTTTATATCGTTGAGACGTTTATGAAACTTTACAACTACTTCGTGCGCAATCCTCTTCTTCACGAATACAGCTTTGGACCGGACACCAACAATACAGTTTATCCGCTCTACGTTACTGAAATGAAGGTTACTAGATCGCCATGGAATGGAACTGAAGAAATCCTACGCTTGGAAAACGTTCGCGAGCTTCTACCGAGTCATGATAAAATCAGGCTGTCAATCAATCAGCCCAATACAGCTTTGATGTGTACTATCCTTTGTCTGGGCACCTTCCTGGGAGCCTATTACTTGAGAATCTTTCGCAACAGCCATTATTTAGGCCGTAGTGCTCGAAGAACTTTCGGAGACTTCGGCGTGCCTATTAGCATTATCGTTTTTGTTCTGATCGACTATTTATTTATGGTAAAAACCGAAAAATTGTTGGTACCTGAAGGACTCTCCCCAACTATGCCCGATAGAAATTGGTTCGTATCTCCTGTCGGATATGAAAAACCTATACCGCTTTGGATGGCTCTAGCTTGCGTGGTACCAGCTTTGTTGGTTTACATCTTGGTCTTTATGGAGACTCAAATATCGGAGTAAGTATAAATTTAATTACATTTAATTAAATCGCTTGTTTAATTATCAAATATGTTTGCTTTTCTGATTGATCGTTCGTTTTGCAGACTAATTATCGATAAAAAGGAGCGAAAATTGCGGAAGGGCAATGGCTATCACATGGACATCGTGGTAGTTTGCCTAATGAATGTAGGATGTGGACTGATGGGTGCACCTTGGTGTTCCGCTGCGTCTGTGCGCTCCCTCACCCACGTATCCGCTTTAACCGTAATGTCACGCACCCACGCGCCTGGTGACAAACCGCATATTGTTGAAGTGAAGGAGCAAAGAGTGAGCGCTCTCCTGGTCGCGATACTTATAGGCGTAAGTGTGCTGATGGCACCATTGTTGCGGCGGGTTCCGATGTCTGTCCTTCTTGGTGTGTTCCTATATATGGGAATTTCATCAATGAACGGCGTGCAGTTATTTGATCGAGTCAAACTGTTTTTCATGCCAGTCAAACACCATGGCACAGCAAACTACGTACGCCGTGTACAAACCTATAAGATGCACATCTTCACTCTCATACAAATCTTGTGCTTAGCCGTATTGTGGATTGTCAAAAGTACTAGGGCCGCCCTGGCTCTACCCTTCTTCCTTATTCTGATGATACCGTTGCGCGCTCAGATGAGCCACTTCTTCACCACTGCGGAGCTACGTGCTCTTGATAGTAAAGGATCCGAACACGAAGTCGAGGACGAACTGGATTTTTACGAAGAAGCTCCTCTACCTGGTTAGACTGTGCCTTAATCGATTACTCTATATTACGGCGTCTTTCTCTCTCTCTCCCCCCCCTCTCTCTCTCCCTCCCTCCCTTCCTCTTCCTGAACTTGTGTACTTTTCAAAATTATCTACTCATTTACTTATCTTAAGATCTCTCAAAGTCCTTATCTATCGCTAATTCGTAAATACAGAGTTCTATTTTTTTTCATCAAATTGGAATAGATATATGCATATTATAACCGTGACACAAAAATATATTCACACGCATGATAGCTCCAGACAACCAATCAGAAATGCACCCTGACTGCGTCATCATTAAGCGTCAAATTTGCAATTTATTTATAGTCGGTTCTTATTTATTTTTGAAGAATAAGCAATAAATCGCCACATGAACATTTAATGCATACATTTACACTTGTGTCTCGACAAGGAGGAACCGTATTTTGTGCACTCTGAAAATAGTTGAATTTGCACGATTGTGACGCAAGCCGGTTGCAATGCTACTGCGCAACCATGTGATAAGCAATACCCTTGTCTTTATATCATAACGTCCATTAATTGAGTCTATTGATAGACAGCTGAAAGCAATATATACATATAATACAAGTAAAAATATGACACACACAAACTCTCTCTCTCTCTCTCTCTTTCTCTTTCACGCACGCACGCACACAGGGTAAGGCATTTAAAACACGTCACCTAAATAATTCGCTTGTTTTTAACAATAGATGGAAAAGTTTCAAACAAAAGTTGCTTGGTTTCTAGAGGCACATAATTTGATGTCAATAATTTTTTTTGTAGGTGGAAGTGTAAAAGATAAGCAAAGGTCAAATTTGTTTTTTCTTTTTTAATGAAATAATACATTTTTTTATTTACATTCTGATAGAGCGTTTTAAGACGAATACAGTAACCTATAATTAAAGGTCAGTCAAGGTTACGCGAGATCCGTAATGGAAAATAAATTGTTTTAAGGCATTCTTGGAATAATTTTGTCTTCTTTGCTTGTTGATATACCGCTCTTTTAATCATTCAAATGTATCACGATAGGTAAATAAATTTAAAAAAATAATCGCACATAGTGTAAGATATCAGTTAAGAACTACGCTACGCTACGAGTCGGGCTGTGTGGCTCCGCGGCTCTGAAGCTGTAAACGCTTGGCCGAGAAAAAATATCGAACGCTCGACGCGATGCCGGGACTCGAACCGAGGACCTCGTATAGTTCGTAATAGCGAGCCACCGCCTTGTCGCAGAGCCACACAGCCCGACTCGTAGCGTAGCGTAGTTCTTAACTGATATCTTACAATAGCAATATTACTGATCAATTTGAATTTATCTATTGATTGAAGTGCGTGTCTTACAAAATGCGTTACACGAAAACGGAAAAAATCGATTTTTATCTATGGTAAATATCGCCAAATTATGAGAGAAGCAGTACGTTTGCATGCTAAAAGATTTCCTGATCGTGTCTATCCCTCATTCTTTGTTTTTTTCAAATATAGTAAAAACTTTTTAAGAAACAAGAAGTATGGATAATAAACACAAACGAATTACACAAGAAAGCAACTAAGGATGGAAATTCAACGAACATTTCAGTTGCTATAACACTAAATTCACATATTAGTACAAGTTTGAACGTGAAAGTGGTATTAGTCAACGAAGTGTTTTGAATACTCTATTCCAACAAATTTCATTCCTTTCGTATTTTACTTCATCAAGAGTTACAAGATTTTTAAAATCAATTCTGTGAATGGGCATTACGAAGACTACAAGAAGATAATATGATTTTCACTAAAATCTTATTTTCTGACGAAGCTATATTTACAATGGATAAGTAAATCTTTGCAACATGCACTATTAGTCAATAGAAAATCAATAGAATAATATTCAGAGCGCTTATTCTCCTGCAAAGACGCAATTTTGTTAAAAGAAGAAGTTGTTTGTTTTAGCATGAAGCCATAAAGTATCATGCCCTGTATTCCAAATGCAGGAATTTCGAATCACTCTGTATATACATGAGAGAGTGTGTGTATCATATTAAAAGATTTAATGTGTTATTAAAAAATTAATTTTTTATTAATGTTACAATAATACAATATTACATATAATATTCATATACATATAGGGTGAGGCATTTAAAATAGGTCATCTGAATAACTCGCTTGTTTTTAACAATAGAAGGAAAATTATCAAACAAAAGTTACTTGGTTTTGAGGGGCACATAATGTGATCAATAATTGCTTTGTAGATGGAGGCGTAAAGAATCATAGACAAAGGTCAAAATTGTTTTTTTAATTGGAATGATATGTTTTTTATTTACATTCTGATAAAGCATTTTAAAATGAATACAGTGACCTATACTTGAAGGTCATTCACAGTTACACAAGAACAATAATGGAAAATAAATTGTTTCAATGCACTGTTCAAATAATTTCGTGTCTTCTCTGTTTGTTGATATGCCGCTAATCATTCAAGTGTATCACGGTATGTAAATAAACATTGAATCGCACATAGCATTATTCATATTTACTAATCAGTTTAAATTTATCTATTGATCGAAGTGCGTGTCTTGCGAAATGCGTTATACAAAAGCGGAAAAAATATGATTTTCATCTATGGTAACCTATATATTTTACACTTCGACTTTGAAACAATTTATTTTCCATTCAATTATTTTCCATTATTGACCTTGTGTAACCTTAAATGACCTTCAGCTTATAGGTCATTGTATTCATCTTAAAATGCTAAATCAGAATGTAAATAAAAAAACAGATCATTCCATTTAAAAAACAGATTTGACCTTTGCCTATCTTTTATGCCTCCACCTACAAAATAATTATTGATCATCACATTATGTATCCCTCGAAACCAAGCAACTTTTGTTTGATATTTTTCCTTCTATTATTAAAAACAAGCGATTTATTCAAGTAATTTTTAAATGCCTCAGCTTATATACATACATACATATGTACAAAGTGTTCGAAAATACAACCGACAAACTTTCAGAGATAGTCGGCACCAAAAGGATTATTTTTTGCAAATATATCTATGGAATCGTGTCGTTTCATCGCTACGACAGTGTTCGAAAAAAGTTGGACTTCGAGATATCTCAAAAAATGTAAGTTTTATAAAAAATTGTTTCAGATAAAAATTGTAGAGTGTAAAAAGATTTATTTACTGATCTTATGAGTTTGACCTTGGGTGGTTTCGCCAATATCAAGTCGAGATGGCAAAATTGATAGCTGATCCAGTCAGTGATTGCAAGATCGATGACTGATCCAGTCAGTGAAGTCAATCTCGATTTGACCTTGACGACACCACCCAAGGTCAAACTCATAAGATCGGTAAATAGATCTTTTTACACCCTACAATTTTTATCTGAAACAATTTTGTATATGACCTTATAGGTCCATTTGCAAAAAATCGTTCTTTTGGTGTCACCGATAATCTCTGAAAGTTTGTCAGTTGAATTTCCGAACATCGTGTATACAGGATGAGACATCTAAAACAGGCCACCTAGATAACTCGTTTGTTTTTGATAATACGAAAAAATGTTTCAGATGAAAGTAGAACGATTTCGGGGGGGACGAGTTTTGGTCACGTTGTTTTTTTTTCTAGGTGGTGGCGCTAAAAAGATATTAAGGTTATCTCCATTTAAAAAAAAAATGTATGTCATTACTTACATTAATTTTTTAACAATTCTGCATACAAAAGTATGAAAGTACACATCAAAAAATCAATTGTTTACGAGATATTTTATACTTTAATTTGACATATATTGACATGCAATATTAAATATCTCGCAATAATATTTTGATAATCGTACCTTAATATTTTTATGAAGAGACTAATGACAATTTAATTAGTGTAAAAAAACACATAGTTGCTTGTTTAAAAAAAAATTATCTATTTTGTCTATACATATTCTTCTTGCAGTTTCTAAGACGATTTTTCTTTTGGAAATATTTATCTTAGTTTCTAAGTTATAAAGAGCAATAGTTAACGTATCACAAGTCGAGTAATATACGCTATTTCTTTTTATAACTTAAAAATTAAGCCAATGAAAAAGCGATGAGAATAGATCATAACGGTCAAGCTGGATCTTCAGTGCTTCTATATAATTGCGTGTGAATTTATATACTACGTATATAAATTTTTAATTGCGCGCCAAATTTTTTTTAGACTTAGAACGCAAGCTCTAAACTACCGCAGTAATATCAACAGTTAAATCGACTAACAATTTAACAACTTTTGATGTTCTTTGCACATCTTAGATCGATCGTAATAACATTGAATGACATATTAAAATCTGTAAATAATTCATTTTTATTGCGAAAAATATTACCTTGGCAAGGAGTCGAACCTGGATCTCTTGCATTCTGTGCGTTAAAAATTAAGCTTCGGACAAATTTTTGCCAAAGGAAAAATTGTTTCAGAATAAGAATATGTCTTTTTTAAAGATAAAAAGTTATTTTAAATTACCTTATATATACAGGGTGTCCCCAACCTACGAGATTACTTCTTGTAAACAGGTAAAGCGAAGTGAACTAAAAAATTCACTGGAAAACGATTTTACATTGTTTACTATTTTACAATTTTAGCAATACTTCAGAAGATATTAATTTCTAAAAATCACTGAATAATCACGTATTCCCGCGGACGCCATGTTTATGCCCATTAGTCGCAGTCGCTTGTTGCTTAGGAACTGCTTGGAAGGCGTGCACTGATGACCATGCCACACAAAAAACTTAAAGCAATAAGACATAAATAGTAAGGAAATCAACATTATTCGTTGTCTACAATGAGCAGTAGCAGTAGTGGTGGAGACTGTAAAAGTAAGAAATTGACCAATCATAGTAAAATGTAGGAAAAATACTCGACTATGATTGATCAATTTCTTTCTCTTGCTTTTTACTTCGTGCATTGTAGACGACGTATAAAGTCTATCTACAATGCCGTAAGCCATAAAAATTGATCAATCGTAATCGAATATGAGGAAAATAATTAGGCTTTAGATCGATTGCTTACGTTATGGCCTTACGAACTTTATTGTAATTGATCGATTTGCTTACTGTTTACATTTT